TTCGAAGACTCTAACGATATGACACTTTTCGTAGATACAACTCGATGCAGTGATGATTTTTGAACTTAGAGTTTGAGCGAAAAGGTTATTGTTAGTATTGTTGTTTCAGTTCACTCTAATGTACTCTAGCGTTGCCATGGTTTCAAAGCGTACACCATTGGGCTAATGGCTAAGAGCCCGTTTTGTACAGCAATCCCTGGTTAGGTACAGTACACCGGAATACTTTAAAATACCAGAATTATTTCCCATAAAAGTTCTAGTCCTTCTCTTTATACTATCGTATTTAATCTTCAGTTTTAGAGGATTTCATATGTGTTCATAAATGTGACAGGCCTTCTTTCCTTTATGTGACAGTCCAGCTCTCCTGAAAATGACTTGCATACTGAACTGGGAACAAACTTCTTTATATAAATACTATTTAATTTTACTATACTCAGCTCGATTAGCTGAATTTATCTAATATTCTATTTTTAGAACCACATTTTGCCTATTTTGGTAATAAAGTGTATTTTGTTGTTGTTAATAATTATTACACCTGCTCTCAGTGTTACGTGCAGAGCTGCCATCTTTCGACATGCCATCTTTCGTAATACTATGTAACCTGGGATACGTCAAAAATGTACGCAAAACTGACTTCTTTACGGTCGAACTCGACTTCTAGTCATGAAAAATGGATTTATTTGATTTGACATCAATCTTAACTAAGGCTAGGAGTATCAAGAATTCATTCTGTGAGCGGATAAATCGACTGTTGTGAATGTTTACACCTTTCGAATATTAACTGAGCAGTAGCGGCCCAATTCAATCGGAAGGCGCTTTTGAGAGTCGATCGATTACACTAAAATCGCTTAAGGTGGCTAGTACCAGTTTTCTCCCGAGGGGAGTAGATCACCATCGTGCGTCACGCGCGCGTAACACGCACGATAGAGGCGCAAGACTTAAAACCCTACGATCCTCGCTTTTACGTACCGCCAAGGGACAAACCTAGTGATGCTTACCTACAAGAAATATCTACAAAAATTACAATTGACTTTACGCGCTGCGGGTTTAAACACAGAGCGATATGCCGGTCATTCGTTTAGACAAGGGGTGCAACTTTTGCCATACGATGTGGTGTGCCAGAAGAACTAATCAAGATACAAGGCGATTGGAAATCAAATGCATATGAACGCTACTTAGAAAACTCTTTTCAAAGTAGATTAAAAGCAGTAGCCATTGTAGCCAAACATGTCGGTAGTAATCAGGTTTTGTTTTCAGTGTAAACCCAATTTTGGGGAATTTGGAGGGCATTTGCATGGTTTAATAAAGTCCATTGTTTTATCCCCAAAATTGTGTGGTATTTTAAGTGCTAGATAAACTTTGCTTATCGTAATTTAAAATTCCGGCGTCATCTTTGCGGTGGGAAATTATGTTATCCTAGGTATGTATAGAGTTACTAATGCGTGTTCCACTGATAAGGAGTGTCAGTTTCATTTAGCGAGCGTTTTTACAATTTTACAGCTCAATAGCGCGCTTCGTTTTGAATCCAGAGCATTTTGAATTTCAGGGTTATGGAGGCGCGTGACACAAGGCTGCGATCGAGTTTGTCGAAAAATATATACTTATCTCATGATTTTGCGCCTTTTTAGAAGTTAGATCCATTATGAAAAGTACTCATGTAAATGCTTGTTTGATCAGTACTGATAATCAGTCGCCTAGATAGCCAAAGTAAGTTCCAGATGTTTACACTATTTTCCGGCCGCCATATTGGTGTACCAACATGGCGTTTTCATACTGGGCTCTGTAAATATCTGCGAAACATTTCGACGAATATCTGACGTTTGGGGAAACGCACAGGCCTAAAACTTGAAGAAGTGCCTTATTTAGTTACCTTCTACAACATCATAATTTCATAGCTTTTTCCACTGGATGGTTTTCGATATATTTTTTTTATTCGGCATGACAGTGAAAACGATCTATTTTTAGAACAAATTGCGCCATCCCATGCGACACACGCGCGTACATGCTGCGAGGATTTTTGCGTATGTAGCACGGGGAAACGGCGTCCGAAATTCCCGGAATGTTTGATGCTTTTGGCCCACAACTCAATACTTTCATGTCTGTTGGAATTTTGCTTCAGTGTTTTCGTCGTAAGCTGCTCCAGTTTGAGTGAAGTAAGACAGTGTCAAATTTAGTTATGTGCCGCTTTATATCACTGACCAAGTTGTGTTCTGCAGCTTCTTTTACAAGAGCTCCACATCACTCCACTCTAAGTTTCACATATGTTGAAGATTAACAGCTTTTCCAAAACACAGCAAAAAACTAGTTGGATATATTGGGATATAGCAGCGTTTCAGGACTTCAAAGTTTCCCTCCTCTTGCCACACGCTTGCGAGGATTTCACTAGAGTCTATCCGGACCGAACAGTAAGAAAGAAAATAATTGCAAGGTTGAGTTTCGCCTGAATTGTAAGCAACGCTTGATGTTTTATCAAGGCCCAATAAGTGACAATAAAGTTTATGTAGATGCTGCTCAGTTTTGTTTGTGTAAAAATCCAACAAATTGGGTACTGTCGATGAATAAGAGCGCTCGCCGATGCGTGTTTTGTACAGTCAGTAAAACATGACAAATTGGACTTCCCCACTTTCGTGTGAAAACATACATTGAACTCATGTATCTCTAGTTTTTAATTATGTTTAAGGTTGATAAATGTTTGAGAACATATTAAACGCTTAGCTGAAAATATGTGAATACAGCAGAAATAATCAGCTTTCTTTAATTAACTCGAATAGTCACGGTACTTGAATAAAGATTTCGATTTTGTTGGTTGAGTTATCAAAACTCTATTTTATTTTCGCAGTGTCAAATTTCACTATATTAAAGAAACACAGATGATGTTAGTAGCCTTTCGGAGTTGGTGTAAATTGTTGCAGCATCTCGACACAAAGGACAACGAAAGAAATCGTTATTAAGATTTGTTGACAATTGAAAACACCGACTCGGACTTGAAAGTGCACGCGCTGCACTATGCAAATGAGTTACTTGTGCGCGTCAGATTTTCCTTTCAAAAACGTTTGCAAACTCGCCAAATAAATAGAAACAATAAGAAACTATCAAAACAGGGTTTGGTTATGATTAAGCATTGTTTGGGAAACTCACAAATTAACTCGATACCAGAGTAAAGAGTTTTCTTG